TTTTTCTTTTTTTTTTTATGGCGGCACATCTCTGTGATCGTAAACGAATGTGTGAGCGCGCGTGTGTGTATCCCCCCCGGACTGGTATTTTTTCCCGGCCGGTCTCGGGCGAACGGGCGGAATATAAAAAAAAAAAAAAAAATGAAAAAATGAATAATATATACACGGTCAAGCGACGACCGCAGGTGATGGTGTCGACGAACGGCGGTTTGAATAATCCGAGTCGATATTTCATTTCTCGCGTCCGCGGAGTCTTTTCGAGACCCGCAACGCCGTTATCCCGCGCTATTTTATCGAATTAAACCTATACGTACCTCCCCCGCGTGAACCGATTACAGACGTGATGTTTGTAGAGAAACGAAATTCTCTTCCCAGACTTATCGTAACCGAGAGACTTTGCGCAATCGATTTCTTATAATTTATTGAAATGCTACAAAATTGACGGCGTCGGATTTTCTAATTTCAATTACGGTCGTATACCATTGTTTATTAAACAATGCGCGGAATGTTCGCAAGAGGTTTAAGGGTATTTTCGTTACCTACCTACGATGTTAGACGTGATAATTTTTTTTCTTTTGGCCCTTTTCTCATTCAGATTTTCATAATTTTTTTTTTTTTTGATTATTACAGCAGAATTTTAAACATTAATATTCGATCAATTATCTAATTAGCTCGATTAAACTTTTGGCGCTATACATCACAGTCAGTGTACATGTTTAGTCGTTTCTCTACACATTGCCCACGAAAATCTGACATTATTTACGTTATTATACTTTGCCTGTAGTGCATAATGCGTCACATATTATTTTTTAATAAGGTTAATTCTGTTTACATGATATTATACGATTTTTTGATTAATTCGCGTCGGTTTCGTCTTCGTACAGAATACCTATATCTGACTATTCTAGTCGTTTTTTGTTTACAGATTTTTCAGAACTATTGCAACATAAAAACTTGTTCGTGTTTAACAAGTATTATTGGAAAAGTCATTTCGAGTGAGTGACCGTTAAATTGAATATAAGTATTATGTATGATTGTATGCTCTACAGTGTCTGGCGCATGACGTAAAGGTATAAAATGCACGTTTAATTACAAATTATTACCCACAGTGAATAATTTCACGAAATCTCGAATAAATGTCGAAGTTTTTGAAACCCGATCGGTATGACAAACGAAACTACATTTTCCCTTCGAGATGGTGTACTGTTATAAATGTATAAATCGTTTTGCGAACAGTGTTATAAACATATTAATAAATAATAGCGGTCACTGTTCAACAAAAATAATGAATATTTATGCGTATAAAGTAATCAATAATATTATATTTTACGTCGGCGGTACTTTCACTCGATTTATTAAATTCGCGTTAAATTACTGCAAAATTAGACGCTGTACACGAGACGCCGTGATTTTTTTTTTTTTTTTTTACGTCCAACCGCTGCACGTCGCACCGTGTGTATTACTACCGAGTGTTATGTATTATTATATTATATAGTTAATGATAACTAAACGCCGTTTTAGTTAAATATATTTATAGCGTTTAAAGGTTATTATGTGAAAGTCCCGATCGATTTCCAGTGTGAAATGCGTTAATTGCGCTTGAATTTTATCGTCGAATCTGGTGCCGCCATCACAGACGATGCTGAAATAATACCGAGAAGTAACGAACGCCATCATAATATTATTATAATAACGGTACAAAAGCACATTATCTTCCCGGCCGCCGTTTTGATAAAAATAATAAAATAATAATAATATATATTATAAACAGTGCCTACCTATATAGTTATTATAAAGATTACGACGAGCGAAAAATTATAAATTGCCGTCGAATAAAACGCATTTTTTTTTAATGATATATATATATATATACGAGTATAAATTAGTTAGGCTATCAATTATTATTACCACGGTTTTTACTTTCGATGATTTTTGCAAGTCAAATCTTCTTCATAAACAATGTTAATAAAGTGCTCGGTTTTACAGCCGCTAACGGTGTTTCTAACTCACCGATTGAATGTGACCCGTGTAAGACGTATTACAACGTGCCATGTACAAATAAATGCGTATCCAGGGAGGCGCGAGCAATAGAGGGAATTGCCGCTCCAGATATAACCCCCCTTCCCCCCCTTCCAAAAAAAAAGACCACTTTATTTACTGTGGTTTTATGCGTATTACATCTTCTTCTAACGTGTCATGACTGAACGATTTATCATCACCTAGCCCAAACCACTGGACGGATCGGGCTGAAATTTGACATACAGTTAGCCATACAAATGTTATATTGTGACGTAAGTATCCGAAGAATATCAAATCGTTTATTCGTGGGCTACGGATGAAATAACCAAATTTTGGCCCGGGCAACGCTGGATGGGATAGCTAACGGGATGGAAGGGTTTTGTGTACTTTTGGAACGTTTATTCAATTTTATTTGTTGATTTATACGTTACCTTGTGGACATGGATGATAATTTGGTTGTCACGGCCAAGAAAACTATTATTTGTATTATTATTATTATTATTATTTACACTATTATCTATACAATAGTGAATAATTGTCGGATCAGCTATATTATTATACAATATAACGTTGACAACGTGTGGTGTCGAGACTAAGTTGAAACAACTTAAAGAAATTTACTATAGCAAAAATCAATAATTCTACAGTGTATTTACAAAAAGGTATCCCTCGATTATCGTTACGACCAACGTCTAGAGTCACGAGATCTAGAGTCTAAAAAAAAAAAAAATAATTTTTCAAATTTATTTTAGATTTCGTGATCACACGGGTCGCGATTAGAATTCTAAAAGTTTCGGGGAGTGCGAAGAAAACACCGCACACGCGCACACAGAGCCGATATACCAGTGTATAATAATATTGTACATACAATTAAAAATAATAATACAATATGGTGATATGTTCTTCTTTTTTTTTTCTAAACACGCAGTGTGCATTTTACCTTAAGTCTATTAAAACCGCCCGCGGGGTTACCTTACTCCTACACCCATACAATCTGTCCGCGTTCACTAATGGTTTGTTGTGGAACGCTATTGAAACCATATTGTAATACTCCTAATAACAATACGAATCAAAAGGGTGATATATTATTATCATCTTAACACTCGGGCCGGTTGATTTTTTTTTTTGATGTCCGGTGAGAAAAAGTTCCCGCCGTAAACCGTTTATAAACGCAGTTCCTTTTTTGTACGCGGCCCGTCATACGGGTGTATTATTTAAAAACAGCAGGCGCGTACAGCCGACGTTTTGTTGTAAACGACGACGTTTGATCATAATAACAATGTATCACATTAATATCATTGCTGTTGATCCTTCGTCGGTTCAGGGCGGAGTCGTCACCAATGACGAACATCCGTAGCATTTTTTATCCTATTAATATTCGATATTTAATCCATCTACGGGTATTGAAAAATAAATCATCGTAATTAAACTTAATTAAACATAAATACGTCATTTTAAGTTTATCAATATCAATGTTGAATTTCATAGTCTTAAGCGTATTAAAACATACGTAATAATGTTACATATGTAAAAAATTGGATTTTCCCGATTCTGAGTCTTCTGTGTTATCGGTGGTTTATCGAATATTACAAAACTGCATTATTTACAAATGATTGGCCATGTCACGGATGTTGGCCATGTAGGTACTCCAATCTATATGTTTAACTCGTTTGATAAAAAGTCGTATTTAAACATAAATAGTTCTTATAGCAGAGGAAAACCTACTGGGGAGCAAGAGGGGTCACTGGTTAAGGATTTTTCGGTAGTCGAGAAAATTCGAAGTATATATGACGATTATGCGAATTAAACATATTTAGGTCTTGCGCTTAGTTTATTGTGTGGAAAGTTTTTTTAATTTTCACAAGAGTTTTTATTTTGTTGTTGGTCAAATTGTCAGTTTTAACACCCCTCTCCCCCGTGCAATAAAACCACTTCAACATACCACTACAGGCTATTCCTTATTAAATAATAACGTCATTTAATAAAATACATTTAAATAAATTAAATCTGTTATTTTTAATTCGTTTATTATTGTGTATATTTTTAAAAATTAATATCTACTCGAGTAACAGCCAAAAATGAATACGTGTACCTAACTTCTATACACACGCGAGTACATAT